CCATGATACAGAGTTGAATGTCCTAGACATTGATAAGTAACATGCCACTCTACTGTTGTATCTTCCAAGTTAATAAGGTTTACTAAGAGGTTTAGCTAATGAACTTTCCCCAAGTTTTTCTTGGTAGTACACTCATTTATTTATTTATTTATTTATTTATTTATTTATTTATTTATTTATTTATTTATTTTAAAATATATTTTATTGATTTTGTACAGATAGGAAGGGAGAGAGATAGTTAGAAACATCCATGAGAGAGAGTCATCGAACAGCTGCCTCTTGCACACCCCCTACTGGGGATATGCCCGCGACCAAGGTACATGCCCTTGACCGGAATCGAACCCGGGACCCTTCAGTCCCCACGCTGGCGCTCTATCTATTGAGCCAAACCGGTTTCGGCAGTAGTACACTCATTTAAAGTATGGTGGGCTTTGGGTGGAGCATTATAATAATTTCTTTCAGATGAACAGAGAGTATTTTTCCAGATTACACTGAAACGGCCATTGTGGTCTACTTACTCTCTATGGATGAGTGATTGAAGTTAGAGCTTTTATTTTGTTTTTAAAATATTTTTATTTATTTCAGAGGGGAAGGAAGGATAGAACTAGAAACATTAATGATGAGTGAGAATCATCAGTTGGCTACCCCCTGAAGGGCCCCCACTGGAGGGGGAGCTCAAAACCCAGGCATATGCCCTGACCTCCTGGTTCATAGGCCTCAACCCCTGAGCCATGCCAGCCAGGCAGAACTTAAAAAAAAAAAAAAAATCAATGCTCACAATTCACTGAGCTGGGGAAAACTGGGTCTTCCTCCTGTCTGTCTCCTTTTGCTCTTACACACTCAGCACACTCACAATACCAGGTATGTGTGGGTTTTCTCCACATCAAGCAACTCTGTGATGCCAGCTGGGGGTTTCTACAACTTAACTCAATTTCAACACTCTCTACCTGGAGAAAGCCTCGAATCCCACAGGGTAAGGCCTCAGTTGCACAAAACTGCCTCCTCCCCCGCTCCCTTCCTCTTCAAATACCAATCACAAGTCCAGGTTGTTACCTATGCTTCTGACCAATTGGCTATTAATCAGAACTTCCCATGCCCACTTCTTGAGTTAGGTTAATTTGCTAGAGTGGTTCACAGAAGTCAGGAAAATAGTTGACTTGCTGCTTATTAATTTATTATAAAATGTTATGATGAGAGATACAGATGAGCATCCAGATAAGAGAGATGCTTAAGACAAGGTGTGTATGAAGGGGCGCTGAGCTTCCATGTCTTCCCCAGGACCACCATTCTCCCAACACCCCCATGTGTTCCCAGCCCAGAAGCTCTCCGACCCCAGTACTTCGGGGATTTTTATGGAGACTTCATCATGTAGGTATGATTGATCGATCATTAACTCCATTTTCATCCCCACTCCAAAGTGACCTTCAGGCCTACTCTCCCATGTATGAGTGATTGGACTTCCGAGCTTTTAAATCAACAGCTCACATTTGCACCCATCACACCACTCCATACACAAACCTATCACTGACGCTATGGAAGAAACCAGGCCCCTGGTTAACTAGAGCAGGTCTGCAAACTCATTAGTCAACAGAGCCAAATATCAATAGTACAACGACTGAAATTTCTTTTGAGAGCAAAATTTTTTATTTTATTTATTTTTAAAAATATATTTTATTGACTTTTTACAGAGAGGAAAGAAGAGGGATAGAGAGCTAGAAACATCATCATCAATGAGAGAGAAACATCGACCAGCTGCATCCTGAACACCCCCTATTGGGAATGTGCCCGCAACCAATGTACATGCCCTTGACCGGAAATGAACCTGGGACTTTTCAGTCTGCAGACCGCTGTTCTATCCACTGAGCCAAACGGGTTTCGGCGAGAGCAAAATTTTTTAAACTTAAACTTTTAATGCCACTTCTTCAAAATAGACTCACCTAGGCTGTGGTATTTTGTGGAAGAGCCACACTCAAGGGGCCAAAGAGCCGCATGTGGCTGGAGAGCCGCAGTTTGCCGACCATGGAACTAGAGGGGCACACAGGGCCCATGCATTTGGGGTTTCCTAAGTCAGAGCAATGTGGAAGGTCTGTGGAGCAAAGTGGGGATGTCTTTATCTTCCCCAGATGTCAAGGTGTTGAAAATGATATTTATTGCTTCCCCCCAAAACCACTTCACCTTCCTGCAGTTCACAGAACCATCCAATAGAAAGCAATTATGGAGTCCAGTGGAGTTTTAAAATTTGCATTTTAAAATGATGAAATATGTTTATAATAAATGCTGGATTGATGACAAAAATTTAAGCTTAGAAATATTTAATTTTAACCTAAAAGGGTGTTTGTTTTCTTTAAATTGTGGAAGGCACATTTTAACATCTGCAGTTGAAATTCTGAACACTGAAGTTGCAAACAACAAAACTTCATTTACATTTTATTATAAAGACCTTTATTAAAGGGAAGAACATATTTTTTTTTCTATTTCTTATTATTTTGTGCCTCGAAGGACCTGTAAGTATGGAGGTTCTTCTGAATCCAGTGGAGAGGAACTCTTTTCTTCTTATTCTCTCTTCTTACACCAATCTTCACCATGTCAATCTTAAGACAGAGAGAAAGCTGGATGTTGGCTATTATTAAAAATGACGAAGGGAAGAAAGAAAACACTGGCTTAAGAGTCAGATGTTGTAAGGAGCAGAAAGCAATGCTTAACAAAAATGTACCTAAAGGAGCCATGTACGACGGATGCCCAACCAAGTTATTTTCATCATTTTTATATTGTCTTCATAGATTTTCTTCCACTTCTCCGCTAGTACACGCTCTCACTACAGAGGAAGCCCTATAACTGTGGGAAAGCGGCAGAGCAGTTGGTCATCCAGGTGAATTCAGGATACTAAGAAGGCTAAAAGTTAGCATCCTTCAGGTGCCAGGAGCAATGGGACAGATGAAGTATGTCCAAGCTCTTTTGCAGGATCCTGGGTCCTAGTGTGTGGGCTGCTCCCTCCTGAGGAGGTACATATTACCCACTCCCGCGTGGGCTTTCCGCCAAGGACAGAGCCCCAGCCAGTAATCTGTTGGACAGTAGCCAAGGTACTCCAAACCTTTCCAAACACCTGCAACACGAAGTTGCAAGTGTCCGGGTTTAAGAGATAAGGCGGGAAAACATGATTGGTGATTTCCTCGTCCCACATACCCATCAGAAAAATGGGGAGACTGATTTTTAGGCTGTCCTCGGACCTCGGAGAGCATTGCCTGGCTTCCCACTATTAAAAGACAAGAATCCCATAATGCAGTGTTTCCCAAACTTCTCTCATGATGAGAATCACCTGGTGGAGTTGTTAAACTACAGATTCCTGAATCCCAACTAAGAAGTGCTAAACTAGAATTTTGGGGAACATATAGGTAAAATTGTATACTTAAGTAGTAAAATTGTATACTTAACTAGTGCTGTTTTAGGGCACTAGTTAAGTAACTAGTAAAATACGTAACTAGTAAAATTGTATACTTAACTAGTGCTGTTTTACTAAAAAGTATACAATTTTACCTATATGTTCCCCAAAATTCTAGTTTAGCACTTCTTAGTTGGGATTCAGGAATCTGTAGTTTAACAACTCCACCAGGTGATTCTCATCAGGAGAGAAGTTTGGGAAACACTGTCATAATGGACCACTAGCAAGCTCAGGTGTTTCCCCTCTAGCCCTATTGTGTGTGCTGATAAGTGTTCCCCTTTGAGTAACCCCTGTGGGTCTTTTTCCCAGTCCTTAAGGTAGTCCTAGCCTCCGCAACCCAGATCACAGATCGCCAGGAGGTGGGGGCTGGAGAAGGGAGTGAGGAACAGCTCCTTCACACCCTGAGGTCCCTCTTTGGGGTCCCTGGGACAGTAGCCCACTCCCAGCGCACCGAGGGTCCCCGTTCTCTGCGGGCTTCCCGGTCCCCAAGAGCGGCGCTGCGTGGACCAGTCTCCCTCCCAGGGACTGGATGTAAGGATGGGGGCGCAGAAGCGGGGTAGGGAAAGCCATGGGCAAGGAGGTGGGATACCCAGAGAAGGAAGTGAGCCGCCGCGGAGGGGCAGCGGGCGCGGGGCGGGGCCGGGGCGGTCCCGGGGGCGGGGGCGGGGCCGCGGGCGGGGTGAACCACAGCGCCCCCTCGCTGCGCGCTCCCCGCAGCGCCCCGCGGCCGCCAGCGCCTCCGGCTCGCCAGCCCCTTTGTGTCCCGCGCGCCGCCGCCCGGAGCAGCGGGGCTCGGGCGCTTCAGCAGAGGTTCCCTGGGGTCCCGCTGCCTCGTCCCGGGCCCGGCCGCCGCGCTTTTCTCCCGCTTCACCGTCCCTCCCTCCGCCAGCCCCCGGCCGGAGCCCGGCAGACCATTGGGGCCGCGAGCAGCCCGCGTCCTGCGGCGCAGCCACCCCACCCCACCCGGCCCGGAGCACTCACTCCCCATCACGCCCGGTCCCCATCGCCCCCCGCACCCCCTTCCCGCCACCCTCCCAGGCCTCCAAAGGTGGAGAAAAGGAACTAAAAGCAAGAGCAAACTCCGAGACTCCCAATAAAACGCCCAGGACTCAGAGCCCGCCGAGCGCGGACGCGTGTGCCGGGCGGGCGGCCGGGGCGCGGGAGGCGGGGATGGGGGGACGGGCGGGGGGACAATGAGCGCATGAAGTTACCTGCCCGGCGGCCGGGCTGCAGCGGCGGTGGCGCGGGGCCGGGAGGCGGCGGCAGCGGAGCTGGGTGCGCGCCGCGGCGGCTCGGGGGAGAGTTGAGCACTTTTCCCCCCTCTTTTTTTTTTTTTTTTTTCTTCTTCTTCTTCTTCTTCTTTTTTTTTTTTTTTTCCTCCTCTTCTTCTTAAACAAACCGCAAACGGATGTGAGGGAAGGAAGGTGTTTCTTTTTTACTCCCGAGTCCAGACACCTCTCTCGGTTCCGTGCAAGCTTGTTTTTGCTGAACACTTTTTTTTTGTTTGTTTAAAAAAAAAAAAAAGGAAAAAAGAAAAGGAGTTGCTTGATGTGAGAGTGCAATGGACGTAAGGTTTTATCCACCGCCAGCCCAGCCCGCCGCCTCTGCGCCCGACGCGCCCTGTCTGGGACCTTCTCCCTGCCTGGACCCCTACTATTGCAACAAGGTGAACCTCTGCTTTTGTCTCCCCGGGGTCTGGCCGCGGGGCCGGGGGCCGGGGGGCGGGGGCGGGGGGCGGCGGGCCGGGCGGCGGGGCCGGTCCCCGGGCGCGGGGCGCGGGGCTCGCGGACCCGGGGCCGCGGTGCGCGCTCCGCTCCGGGAGGGAACCCCGCGGAGAGCGGCTCGGGGGGCTTGCCCGGCGCCGCGATGGTGCGGAAAGTGACACGATTTGCTCGGAGATTTTTCCTTCCTGCTGTTCGCGACTCGGGATCCCCTGCCTAGGTTTGCCGGGGGGCGTTTATTAAAAAAAAAAAAAATTAGGAGAAAACCACCGTGTACTTTGGGGGTGTGTCTGGTGTCCCGGAACCGAGGCAAGAGACGGAGAGAATTCAGTTTATTATTTTATTTTATTTATTTTTCCAGTTTGCCCTTCTCTTTGCCTAGCTCCTTCTCACGGGCAGCGGGGGCTCGTGGTGGCCCCGCTTCCCGGATCGGGATGAGTTAGTTGCCAAAGGGGAGCGGCCGGGGGAGAGTCGGGGTGCGGGGACCCCGGAGACACCTCCACCCCCTGCCGGGAAAATTGCTCCACAACTCTTTTGTTTTCACCGATTCACCGACCCTGTTCGGGCGGCTGAGCCCGGGGTGCGGATGCTGGTCTGCGGGCCGGGGTGCAGCCAGGGAGCCGGGTGTGGGGGGACCGCTCCGCTTGCGGGGGGGCGGGAGGGGGGGTGCGCGCAGAAATTGCAAGTTTGTTCGGAGCCCAGCGAGCGCTGAAGGTGCACGTCCAAGGCCCCCGAGCTCTGCACGGGGCTGGAGCTGGGTCCGAGGCTGGGCTGCATCCACAGCCCCTTGACCCCAGGCCGCGGGGAGCCGGGACAGCGGGAGGAGGCGGACCCAGCGGGTGGCTCCGGGTGGGAAGGTCTGCCGGAGCTTCTGCCGAGCTCCGCTGGTGCCCAGGATGGAAGCCAGAGGGTGCTGGGACAGCGGGTTCCTCTCTGGGCTTCTGGAACTCTGAGCTCTGGGAGAGCAAATAGGGGACAGGCCTCCTGAGAGCAAGCCTAGGACCAGGGCCATCCCCGCTTTGGGGTTGTTTGTTGGACGTGTTTTAAGCTGTCCCGCCGGGTGGACATCGTCGGGGAGAGTTGAGTTGGGCGAGCGGTTTGGATGGCCGGCTCGAGCATGGTGGTCACACTGCCGGGTCCTCACAGTCCCTGCGAGCCATTCCCTGTTGGTCCCTCGGTGGATTCCGCTGGATAAATCCTTGGGACTCCCTCACATTTGCCTGCCCGGGGCGAGTCATCCTTAAACAGCTTTAAAAAAATGTGATAACTTAGGCATTGAGCGCCCTGCAGCTTCAGCCCCCAGGTTCCCCACCACTCAATGGACTGGGTCAATGGACACACACACACACACACACACACACACACACACAGCTGTGAGCTAAGTGAACCACAAACCTCTCACCCCGCAGAGACGCTCCTAAATGCTGTGTACAGGGATGAGCGTTTTGTATGTGTGATGTTCTCAAGCAAGTTTGAAGCAAGGGAAATGTAATCTTGGGCAAAGGCGAGAAAGGCTGTTCATCACCCAGGGATGGATCCCATTAGCTGGGGACCAGTTGGAAGGCACTGGGAACTTTGGCAAGAGGATTTTTGGGTGTTGAAGTTTCACCATTAGTGGGTAGCATAGTTCTTTTATTCTAAAATCTGTTTTTGCCTTCGTGCGTGAGCTATTTTTTTGTGTTTGTAACATTTAATTTTGCTGAGGACGCTTTTACTGGAACAGGAATTAAAAAAAAATAATCAAGTGGCAGTCCTATCTTGGATAATAGAGACATATTCCACAGTAGTCACTGATGCAAAAGGTCAGAACCGCTCTGGCAATGATTCTGGACACATCTTATCAAATGTATCAGTGATGTGAGGCTCCAGCAAGAGGATAAGGACTTGGATACACGTTTCAGAGGCATCACTCTTGTGACAGTAAGGTCGAGTTTAATTTAAAGGCCAAATGTTTTATAAAATCAAGAATTACTTCAACATATTAAATCGTTTTCTAATGAAGTGCTTTAAGTAATTTCAGTGAGTTGTGCTGTGCATTGAATAAATTAATTTAGAAAGTCTTCAGAATTTCTTTTACCAGCTCGCTGAAGTTTCTTTTAAGTCACCCGGTGAGTGAGGAGCAAACTGTTCTTTTTAAATGCAAATCAGTAATCCTTTCTATAGACTAGTTGCCCATCTTCTATTTAACTTATCCAAAGAAGAATGGATTTTTTGAGGATGCAAAGTCATAAGATGTACTTGTCAGAGAAGGAAGAGACTTCATGAAATGTTTCTTACAGGACCCTTTCTCCTGCCCTTTTCTGGGTTAGCGGTCTATCAAATGTATTTGTCACTGAGCTCTGATTCTATTGAATGTCCTGAGTAGATTTTCTAGGCCCAGAAAGCCCAGGCATAGAATTTCCTACTCCATCATGATTACCATGGGTACAGCATTCCTGTCCAGTTCCACATTTTTTAATTGCTTCTCATGTAGTCAGCTAGCTTCATTTTTTGCAATGATTCTCGAGTGGATTTGCAAGAGTATGAGGGATGGGCAGAAGTTTGGAAGAGATGAAAAAAGAAATCTGTGTCTACGTTTAGTAAAAACAAGTTGAAGCAGACTTCCTTAAAGCGACAAGGCTGCAGTGCAAGCCTGGTATCTTCCAGAGGTGCAAGGAGGATGCAGTCCATTACAAGAAACAGTCACTTTGTCAGGTTATTTGTTTTTAATAGGGAGATAAGATCATGCATTACTGATTATCCTTATTTTAAATCTGTCAACACTTTACTTAAAGTTGGCGTGCTAAATCCCAGCAGAACTAGTATCTTCCTGTGCTTCAGAATCATGCCATTGTAACTACTTTCCCCAATGCCATTTTTTTTTTCAATGTCAGAAGACACCCCAATAGAGAAAATGAATATCCACTTCCTGAAGCTTTTCTAAACTCAAGTGGGGTGGTTGTACTCTGCTAACACTCTCTAGCACCGCTGCTCTCTACAGATTGCCAAAAATACCACTTTATATTTTTCAGTTAATAAACTCTGGAGGAGGAATTTCTGTGGGAACCATTGAATCTCGTGTCGCTCTATTGCAGAAGCACACTGCGTTAGGGACCCATCACTATGCAAACTGGCCTCCATTTTTACATAGCCTATTGCCGGAGACAGTGAGAACAATGCCAACCATGCTGGTTATGGGAACTGTGTGAGGCATCTCTCACAGGAGCAGGCAGGATGGATGGCTGTTGCTTGTATGTAGGTCAGCCTTTGAAATGCAGTGTCGCTCATAGACTGGGCAGAAGCATGCAGGCTGGAAGTCACAGACTCCACCTCTCGTAACTTAAAGCAGGGTAATATTTCACCCATTGAGGGATGGGTACCAGAGTCGCACTTCATCTAATTAAGACTATTTTAAGTAATGTTGCATCCCTTAATTGAGCTGAATGTTACACAAATAAATTGGATTGCAAGGAGCTCGCGATTGGAGTTCAGTTGTAAAATACAGCCCCATTTTTTTGTTCCTAGTGGAGGATGTCAGAGCATCAGTTTAAATAGAACCTACCGAGTAATAACAGTTCCTTTCAGTTTCTTAGTGCGGTGTCATTTCTGAAGATTGTTTTCACTGATTTTATGCTAAATTGGGACAAAGGAATGGCACTTTGTCTTTTTTACAAGGATGTGATGTGTTCAGTTATTGCTCAGTATCTGCCCACGTAAGGAGCAGTAATACAATTATGTTATGACATGGCTAATGACAGGGATGCTGACCTCTGCCAGCAGTGGGAGAGCAGATAATGGTCTTCACTGTTCTCAGCGGTTGCTTTTTTGCAGAGCAGTTCTTGAATCTTTCTTTGGCTGATTGAGACACAGGGAAGTCCAAAACACAAAACCACGCTTAAGACCAGCTGTATACGGAGTAAAGAATAATGGGCACCTGGTATGCTTTTGCTGTTGAACCGAGGAAGGACGGTGTACTCTCTTTTCGTATAAACATTGGCGGAAGGACTTACTTGTGGTGATCTCTGCATTAAAACGCCAGGGCTAACCCTAGACACCTGATAACTTTTGAGAAAAACAAGATTCATGATCATCCCTGCAAAGTCGCCTTTGAGCTTATGTTCCTGCTTAAGAGTATTGTATATTGTACTTCCATGTGGCAAAACTTATCACATATCAGATACAGGATTTACAAGCACATTAGGATGAAGTCATTAGTTCTACTTTAATTAATGAATGTTAGAAAATGGAGGAGGATGGGATAAGGAGGAGGAGGAAGGAGAAGGCAATAAGCAATTTAGTGCATCACGCTTGATTAGTTTTCTATCCACCTCCATAACTTCTAGGACTTGGGGAAATTCGTAGCTGATACTTCGGGCATCATTAGTATAATTAAAACTCCCCGGAAGTTCTATTAGCTGGCATCTTTCATAAGTTTTCAGGTCTTTAAATACATTTTAAATAAATAAGAAAGAGGTAAGAAAGAGCATAAACCAAGCAATCATTCAGTGTTGGCCCCTGAAACAGATATCATGCAAAAACCTCAAATGTAGCTATCTTGACTTTGTGGTGTATAATATTTCAGTGTTGCAAATTCCAATTATACATGTCTTTATGAGCTTTGGTGCTATCTTTAAGTATGGTCTAGCATCCTCCCAGTTTATCATATGTTTTATAAGTTTCTGAATGATGACTTTAAGGAGCATTTTGATATTTTGCTTAGAACAATGAAACTGATATTTAAATATTATCTAATCGACTGCTTATTGTAGGTCCTTTGTCCCCCTCTTAATGATATGATTGCAAGGGGCTTAACAACAGGAAAGAAGTAAGGCACTTGAAACTAGAAAAAGTGGGGAAAGTTCCAAGTTTATAACATGGCTTTTTTGGTGTCTGGGTATCAAATGTTGCTCTTAGCATGTGGGACTCTTTCTTGTCATCATACTTTTATTGGAAATGGGTTCAACTC